TTTTTAAAGTGAGGTACGAAAAAAAAAATTTTTTTTAAATGACGAAGAAAGAAGAAAAAATAACAAAAATAAGACAAGAGAAAGAGAAAGGAAAGGAAAGACAGAAAGGAAGATCGGAAGATCAAACTCATCAAAGTAAGGGTTTATATAAAAAACAAAAAACGTATCATAACAAAACAATAAACAATCATGTGATCTCGTGTTATGATACGGAATCTTTGTAAAATTATCTAAAAATATTAAGTTTAAAAATTCCGTATACATTCCGCATGATTAATTTTTTCCGTATACATTTCTTATACATTAGTTTTTTAAAAAAATGTTCAAAAATGAATTACTTATTAAATATACGGAATTTGTATACGGAATCTATAGAAACGTACATAAAATGTATACAAAACGTATCCTTTCCGTATACATATTTTTTATAGGGTATAATAAGAAATTATTTCAAATGCTTTGATTAAATAAATAAGTATCTTTATCATTTCTAATGATACCGCCAGATGTACTGTATATTTGCGTCAAAATATTTTCCAATAATAAACAAGTTAGGATAATAATTTTCAATGTTTGTATGTTTCATGCATATAGTATTTTTAAATCCAGGATATTTAACATAATAAACCATATTACATTTTGTCAAATATGGAGAAGGAATCATATAAGTATCTTTGAAAAATCTAAAAAATTAAGCTACGGTTATCTCTCTTGATAAAAATAATTTTAATGAAAGTAGTTTATGACCCAGATAAATACAATAATAGAGCTTACAATAGAATTTAGTAAATGAACTTGTGTTCAGAGTTTGATTGGAGATCAACTGGAAGATGGTATTCGCTTTATCAAGTTTTGACGTACTATCATCATTTCGTAATTTTACTAATTAGTAAATATGTACTTTTAAAGTTTTATTAGTAAAACTGTGTAGATTAAGAATTATCATAATTAGTACAAGTTACGAGATAGAAATGTAATTATTTTCAGTTGGGATCTTTATAAACTAAATTCGGGCTAGAATTAAAAAACTTGCCATCTATTTGATATAAAAGTTAACATATCTAAAAGATATCTAAGTTTTGATAATTAGTAGTTGTAATTGAAAAAAAAATCTGGTAAGAAGTAAATATTTGAAGAAATGATATATAAATCCAATTGAATGAATTAATTTATAAGGCGGACTCTTAAAATCAAAAGTTTTTCATATATAATGTAATTTTTATATTACTTGTATAAAAACAACAATTTTATTTGAAAAATTCTATTATTGTAATGTTGTACATTAAATATGGATATAAATTTATGAAATACAAACAGTTAAATTAACAAAAAAAACCTTATTTCAGGTTTTAGCTAAGAATGAATTTTTTTTATATAGGAGCAAAATGACTATATAAATTTTAATTGACCTAAATTATTTAATTCAAATATATTACATAGAAAATATTGCATGAATATTTGGTGATTTTGTTAGTAATCTTAAAATTAAGTGTATGTTCAATTTTATTTATTAAAAAGAAAAAACATAACTATCTTTTGTAACTCTGAAAATCTAATTGCTTTGAGTATTGTTCAATTGTTCGTTCCAGTCAACTAAATATAATAAAGCATAAAATATCTTTAATTCAACATCATATTTTAATAAGTAACGAATTATAAACTTACCAATCAAATTTGAAATGAATTGATGTTGTTCCAAAGATTCGGTACTAGTTTGTGATTCAGAAATTAAATTACCGATATCATTTCCAAAATCCATTCCTTCAAATTCATCCAATATTTCATTAATAGTTGGTCTTAATCTAGGTTCTTGACTCCAACATTTTGTATAGAGTTTCTCATATTTTTCAGGAGTATTGGGAACTAACTTTTCACGATTATTATTATTAACAATAGAATATGCAAGTGCCCATTTATCATCAAAATGTTCAAATGGAGGATGACCACTGGAAATTTCCCACATTAATACACCAAAGCTATAGATGTCTGAAGATTTAGTATATGGAGATGAAGATTCTGGATTTTTAAGATGTTCTGGTCCCATATAAGCAACAACACCAAAATTACCAATATAAGCTGAAGTTTGATTATTTTGATTTTTTGAAATACCAAAATCTGTGATTTAGCATTACTTTCATGAATGACTATATTCTTAGAATGCTAAAAAGAATAAATTACATAAATAAATTATTGCTAGTACTAATATGACATTAAATAATAAGTACTAATACTTACAAGATCTCTATGAAAAATATTTTCATAATGCAAATAATTTAACCCATCTGCAATTTGAAATGCTAATTTTTTCTTATCATTCCATGTCAAATTCCTAAAATTATTTTTGAGATAATTTTGAAGTTCTCCACCATCAGCATACTGCATAATAAGAAGATATTCATTTGTTTTTGGATCTAAAAATAATTTATAGGAAATTAAAAAAATAACAAAAATGCAATGTAAAAAAAAAATTTCAAATTACCTAAACTAATACCAAAGCAACGTATAATTCTTTCACTATAATCAAGGTACATGTGCATTTTTAGTTCATGAATAAATGCATCTAACAAATCATTCTTAATATGAGTTGTGTTAGTTAATTTTTTGCAAACAACATAATTATTAGTTTTAGTCCAAATTGCTTTTGATATTATTCCAAAACTTCCTGCATCAAGTGGTTCAGCATTTTTTGATTCTTTATAAGATATAAGTTTAACTTTTTCATGTTTTAAAGCATTTTCAATCCATTTATTTGCGCCTAAACTTCCTTTTTCTACTTTTTTAAACGGGTTTTTTAAAACTTCTTTCACTCCCTTACCAATCTTATAAAAGAACCCAAGTTTATATTTTGCATTGCTAAATCCTTGTTGAGCTGATTTTTGGTACCAATAAGTGGCTTTAAATTCATCTTTTTCAATACCAATTTCTTCTTCATAACAAACACCCAAATAAAATTGTGCTTCTTTATCTCCATTTTCTACTGCTTTTTGATAACAATAGAAGGCCTTTTCTAAATTCTTTTCCGTTCCATTTCCATCTTTATAACATATGGCTAAATTAAAAATTGCTTCAGTATTACCATTTTCTGCTGCTTTTTGATACCAACAAAATGCTTTTTCTAAATTTCTTTCTGTTCCTTTTCCATTTTCATAACATATGGCTAAATTATTCATTGCAACTTCATTACCATTTTCTGCTGCTTTTTGATACCAATAGAAGGCTTTTTCTAAATGTTTTTCTGTTCCTTCTCCATTATAATAACATTTGGCTAAACCTGTCATTGCATTAATATGACCTTTTTCTGCTGCTATTTGATACCAATAGAAGACTTTTTCTAAATTCTTTTCTATTCCTTCTCCATTGTAATAACATATGGCTAAATTAATCATTGCATTTTTATTGCCATTTTCTGCTGCTTCTTGATACCAATAGAAAGCTTTTTCTAAATTCTTTTCTATTCCTTCTCCATTGTAATAACATATGGCTAAATTATCCATTGCATTTTTATTGCAATTTTCTGCTGCTTTTTGAAACCAATAAAAGGCTTTTTCTAAATTCTTTTCTATTCCTTCTCCATTGTAATAACATATGGCTAAACTATTCATTGCAATTTCATTACCATTTTCTGCTGCTTTTTGATACCAATAAAAGGCTTCTTCTAAATTCTTTTCTGTTCCTTTTCCATCTTTATAGCATATGGCTAAATCAAATTGTGCAACTTCACTACCATTTTCTGCTGCTTTTTGATACCAATAGAAGGCTTTTTCTAAATTCTTTTCTGTTCCTTTTCCATTTTCATAACATATGGCTAAATTATCCATTGCATGTACAACACCATTTTTTGCTGCTTTTTGATACCAATGGAAGGCTTTTACTAAATTCTTTTCTGTTCCTTTTCCATTATAATTTCTAGTTGCTAAATTATACATTGCAAACTTCTTTGCCATTTCCTGATGCTTTTTTATTTTGATGAAATAATTCAGTTTCACTTTCAGACATTTTAATAATGAAAGTTAAAACAATTATGTTTGTGGACAGTGGGAGTATTAATTACAGTAGATCAACAGTTTGTGTAATTGAGTACTTAGTTATTATGTTTTCTAAAATGGATTTCGCAATTGTCGCACAAAAAAAAGGAACAGACAAATGATCAATGATCACATGATAATCGACCAATCAAATGGTCTATCACAATAATTTACCTGCCGATCATTTAACGCTCAATAACTTGGCCAATAATGTTATGATTTGGTTAAAAAAAAAAATAAATTTATGTATAAAATTTGAAGATAGATTAATATCTTTCAATGGAGCAAAATTAACAGATTTATGTATTATGTGATAAAATCGAATAATGGCACTGAAAATCGATGGTTATACATGGAAGAAGTTTAAAGCTTTGTATAGATATTCTTTGCATCATGCATAATCTATAAAAAAAAAGTAATACTATACAATATATATATGTTGAATTGACTTTATACTGAACCTGGAGTTCTATTTTCACCATGGTTTTATCATTGCACGTGATTAAGTTACTTAAACAGGAGAAAAATTCATAATATTTAAACCTAGATCGTCATTAGCTTAAATTAAAAAAAATTGACCAACATTTGTGCTTATAGTACAGTTTTTTACTTATAAAGAATTCGGTTGATTATAACTTTTGCTTATTAAAATTAAAAGGTTGTTTACTTATAGAAGTTGGCCAATAATGATTTGATTTGTATAAAGATCTATTTATTAAAATTTGATATAAAATAAGATTTCCAGTAAATTTTGGTAGTATTATGATATATGAAATTTCAAATAAAATGATGGCCGTCCTGGCGGTCCTGCTTCTGCTATAATATAGTATAGTACAAGATAAACAAGTCAAGTATAAAGTACTTGAATATATTGTTTGAATATACTGCTTAAATAATATTTGTCATTTTGATTAAATAACTTTCAAGATATAAGAGTGTCAATTGAATAAATTACAAACAAACTTTATAATGCTCATTTTCTTTTGCTTATTTAGCTTATTAAAACAAAAAACAAATAAGTTTAATAAAGGTCATTGCCGAAGCGAGCTTCGCCGGTGTCACGTGATTTTTTAAAATTGGCCAGAATTAGGTAACGCATTTCATTTTTTGATAACAAAATCGCCGGCGAAATCGCTTCCGGTGATTCGTAGCAATTTTAAAATTAAAAAGTAATTAATATGTGGCTTAAAACACCATTATCACTCACTTCTACTTTCTAAAAAGTTCTGAGATTACTTATCGAAATGTGAAATATCAGTCTATTTTTGACTTCACAAACTCGAGCAATAAATTATAAAAAATTTAAATATGAAAAGCAAAAGAATTTTTTCGTATGTTTTTTTTCGATAACGGAAAGAACAGAGAATTACTGACATCCAATATTTACTCATTTACGAAATTAGTACTTCGGTACAGTCATATACAGTATAGCTTTTTTAAACTTAGTTTTTAAATTCTATTTAAGCTACAACAATTTTTGCAATACTAAAATATTTAACTACTGAATAATTTAATCTTAATGATTTAACGAAATGATATGTGGGTTGCATATTCACATATTACATTTGATATTGTAATAATATATGAAAGGTGAATTTTCTTTTGATCATTCAAAATTATGTCAAAGAAATTAGGGAAAATGATATTAATTAATAATAATGAAATCTGATGATTTGTACTTGTTTTTCATCTACCTTGCGATAATAATTGGAATATGCAGAGAATGGATTTTTGAAAAAAAATTATATTGATGCCGGTTACATGTGATTTATAATCATCTTTGGTAGGATTAAAAAATTATTGAGCTTCGCTTTTTTTTTTACAAATAACATTTTAAAGATTTTTTATATAATTATAGTTTGAATTGATATTTGATGCAATATTTTAACTCTTTGTCTTTATGCTTCTAATATACATTGTATTCTTATTAAAATCCTTATAGTTTGACGGTTTTTAGAACTACTGTATAATTTCGTTACTCATTCTCTAATGACTTAAAATTTTTCACCATAAATATCAATTTGGCTTATTATGTTACTCTCATTTTAAATATGCTAGTTTATTTAAAAAGCTACAAAAAAAAATATTTGATTTGAAAATCGATCTAATTAACGTAAATGGTTTATTTGTAACATTCCCTTAATTTAATGGATAACATTGAAGGCATTCTCTTAATTTGATCAGTTTATTCACATTTTATTTTCAATTGGAATATTTGTTTCTTTTGTTGATAATATTGAAAACACTCTCCTAATATGGCTGGTTTATTCTAATGATTTTCATTAGCTTTAAAGACTCTAGTTTTTTTTTTTGATTGACACTTAATTTTACTTCTTAGTAAAAAGAAATTTACTTTAAATTATGTTGTGTAATTTTAATAAATAGAAAGAATGATATATATTTATCAAAAAATTTTGTATTCATAAATTTCTTTGGTTGCTACATGATTGAACTTTGAAGAAATATAATATTTATTTTTTTTAATTGAAAAAGTGGTTAAAACCTTCAAAAATATAATATTTCTTTGTGTAGTAATTTTTGCGCGTTTTTTTTCTAAGTGTTTTTATATTGTTATTGACAAAAAATGTTGCGAAACGTTTTTTTTTTTTTGAGATTTTTTAAGATAAAAAACGTTTTGCAACATTTATGCAATGTTTTTTATCAATAATAATATAAGATATTTCTGTGGTTTCTTTAAATAAAGGTATGAAACATAATAAATAAATCTGTATCAATTACAACTTTAGTTATTGACTAAGTTAACAAAATTATTATACTAAAATTAATTTTGTTTAATATTTTATCCAAGATAAAAACATAAATTAGAAATGAAACAATTTCACACAGGTATCAAAATTACAATAATTGGTCTAATACTATTTATATTTAAATATAATATTGTTACAGATAATCATAAAATTTTTAAAATAGTTATATATGTATATTTTATTTATTATGATGTGTGTGTAAATGTAATAAAGAAACAAAATTTTTTGGTTTGAAACAATTTTAACTTTACTGTGTATTACAAGTTTCAATTATAAAAATTATAATAATTGGTTTTAAATATTCAGAAGCATGAAATATGAAGATATGATACATAAAATTTAAAATTTAATGTATAAATAGCATGAATTTTTGAAGATAATTTAAGGTATTTTAGAAAATTTCTTCACCTATTTTCTTTCTTCTTTCAATATTTTTTCAACCTATTTTCTTACTTCTTTAAATATTTTTTCAATATTTTTTCAACCACTCTTCAATATTTTTCTTCAACATTTTCCTTATTTAAAATGAGTAATAACAGAATAGTTAAAGAATTGTTACAAGAACTTAAGGAAGCAAATGAAAGATATGCGAAGCTATTACAATTATTCAATGGAAATTTTAGTGATATCAAAGATAATAAAGATATTAATAAGAATGACCAATGGAAATATGGAATAGTTAAAGAATTGTTACAAGAGCTTAAGGAAGCAAATGGAAGAGATGCAAAACTATTACAATTATTTAATGAAAAATTTAGTGATATCAAGGATGATAAAGAAGATATTAATAAGAATGATCAGTATTGTGAAAAATGTGATGGGAAATTAAAGAATTATGAGCATGAATTATGTAATGGATGTAAGCTTGAAAGGAATAAAAGTAATAAAGGTAAAGATAAGATTATGGAAATTAGGATTAAAGTTAAAAATTGTAAAGGATCTTATGGAGAAATTGTAGAAGGAATTTTAGGATGGGAAAAGGAATTAGAAAAATGCGATGAATATATTAAAACCCATTATGAGGAATGTAAATCTGTTGAATACGAAGAAAAAAATGATGGATGTACATGTAAAAAATGTGAGAAACAAATTAGGATTAGATTTTTTTGTAAAAATTGTAAAAATTTGTATGAGAATGAAAAAAATTGCAAAATATGTGATGAAATTAAAGAATATCAAAATATGGGTTTTTTCTATTACGAGAGCAAATTTGGGGAATTAGTTAAAAATCGGGAGGAAAATATTAAGCAACAAATTAATCAATGTTTGAGAAATGGAAGTAATGAAATTGAAATTCTTGATCTAGGTGAAAATACTTCGTTTAAAGAAGAATGGGAAAGTTTAGAACAAAAGATTAATAAGAAAAAGGATATTATTAAAAGATATGGGTATACTATTTTTGAACAAATGGAAGAATATGCAAAAAGTGAGGAATTTAAAAAATATGTTGATAATGAAGGAGATATTGGAAAATTTTTGATGGAATTTTATCAACGAACAGGTGGTAATATGAGAATTTGTTCAAGATGCATGATGATATATGATAAAGGGGAAGAATTTATTGAAAAGGATTGTATGTGTTTGGATTGTCATAAAACTGAAATTAGGGATGGGAAATTAGTATTTGTCGAAAAAGTTATTGAAGAAATAATT